CCAACAAAAAACAAAGGCTTAGCGCCTGTAGCTCAGCAGTTAAGGGAACCAGCCACATACACTAAGGCTGGCGGGTTGGAATCCAGTCCCATCCTGCCAAACAACAATGGCAACTGCAACCAAAAAATAGCTGGGCATTGGGGCGGGTGCCTATAGTCCCAGCTACTTGGGAGGCTGAAGGAAAAGAATCAGTTAAGCCCAAGAGTTGGAGTTTGCTGTGAGCTGTGATACCATGGCATGCTACCAAGGGTGATAAAGTGAGACTCAGTCTCAATAAAAAAAAAAAAAACACAAAAAACAAGGCCCCATCTACAGGGCGTACTGGCAGATGCTTGTAGTTCCAGCTATTCGGGAGGCTGAGGCAAGAGAATCGCTTAAGCCCAGGAGTTGGAGGTTACTGTGAGCTGTGATGCCACAGCACTCTACCGAGAGCAATAAAGTGAGACTGTCTGTAAAAAAATAATAATAAATAAAAATCAAACAAACAAAAAACGTGTATCTTTCAGGTCCCTAGTTTCCCCAACATTCTCCAGCAGCCATGCTGTGGCCCCATGTGTCCCTGTGGTACCTGGGCGCCCACGAGGCCATCTCTAAGCCTGTCCAGGCTGGTCTGGCCATGGCTGAAATTGTGCAGGTTAACGTCCTGTAGCCGGTTTTGGGAAAACTGCCTCAGGATCAGGGGCAGGTCGTTATGGCTGGAGGAAAATTAAGGCAGTTTCAAGTCAGAGAAAAATGAGTTGACCCCTTAGTCCACCAGTTCAGGCAGGATATGGCTGGGGTCCTTCAACCCACACTGCCACCCCATAGGGTGTAGACTCTTACAGCTGGGGGTTTCTCACCAGAGAGGTGCTGACAGAAGAGGGGAAAAGGCACTCATGGGTGGTCACAGGGAATGCAGGGGTGGTGTGAAAGAACCTCCCTGACAGCCCTGCATCCTCTAGGCCCCCTCCTCTGCCCTGGGGTGTTCTCACCCACCTCAGCCCCCATGCTGAACCTACGCACCCGTCCACAAGCGGGAAGTCCCGCATCAGGGCCCGCGCACGCTCTCTCAGGTCCTGGGTGCTGGGGGCGCCTGGGGTGGTGAGGGTGCCCAGCTTTGTTGGGGCGCTGGAGGCGCCTGGCGTCGTCTGGGAGAGGGTTAGAGGCTTCGGCAGCAGCAGGAACAGCAGAAGCAGCAGGCACAGCAGAGGTCGCCTGCCGAACGCGCGGGAACCCTCGAGGTTCGTGGTTTGCATGTTGCTGAGAACAGAGGGGTAAGGGTGAAAGTCGTGAGAGTCGCGAGAGCCTGAGGGGAACGGGGATCGGAAGCAAACGGTGACGATGGAGTCGGGACCCGCGATTCAGGTCACCCAGAGGCGCGGCCTCGCGAGGACCGGGTTGAAGTCTCGGGACCCCACGACGGACGCGAACAGCCGCGATGCCTTTTAGTTCAGCCACCAGGGGGCGCCGCGGCGCTCCCGCCCCATCCCTGAGGGCGCCCCCACGGGCTGGGCGGGCCTCCGTCGCAGGCGCCAACTCGCCTGGCCTCTCCCTTTCTCCCTTTCCCGCAGCTCGCAAGTGCCTGCAGCCTATCCCCGCCCCACCGAGTGCTACTTGCATCTCTGTGACTACAGTTCTCTGAGCTCTGGGTTTCCCCGATGCTTGGTCGCGTGCGAGTGGGCGATGTGGAGGAGGAGAAAGAAAGTCTGTGGGAAAGAGGGGTTAACTTTGTAGATTCTGGATTCAAGATGGGGCCCTGTGCCCCCGATCTCCCTTCCCTAGCTTATTGAGCCCTCATATCCATCCCCCAGGGATTCTAGCCAGCAACTGGGAGCTGTCAGGAGTGCCCCTCACCCCTCCCTAATCAGCTTCAGCAAGGAGCCTCCTCCTAAGGAATTGCTGTACCTCCCTAGGACCCCCATGGAGGCACGTTTCGGATAAGAACCCAGCAAACATATGGCCAGGGTCAGAGGACATTTACTCAGTAGAGACATTTACCCAGACAGCTATTTGGATGGAAGGAAATGAAGTAATTTCCAGAGCGGCAGAGCCGCCAGCCTAACACCTTGCCCCCAAAAGCTTCTGGCTGAGCTGCTGCCCAGGATCCCTCCTATATCCGTGTGCCCCTGCCTCCTACAAATCAAAACTAAGGGTCCCCTGGAAAGGCCTGGAATCTGGATCCTACAGCTCCACTCGCCCTATCTCCTGGCTGTGTGGCTCCAGCTCTTCCGAAAACCTCCAGGCCTGAATTCCCTGCCTTGCCCAGCGGGCCCCACCCAGATGCCTCCTCCAGCCCTTCCCCCAGCCACACAAGCATACATGTCCAGATACACAGGAATGAGCCCTCTCACAGGAGTCCACCATCCTTGCTGGCACTGTGTCATCCACAGAGAACTTGACTTCCTTCTGCCACTTAGTTTCTCAAGACTCAGCTCTGAACTTTAACACCCCTGGAGCAGTTCCACCTCTGGAACCTTCCCTAAGTGGCAACACTGACCAGTGCGTGGGTAGTTTCACCAATGGAGAAACAAGGTCCTCTAACAATGAAATGAGAACGCTCTTTCAAAAATACTGGAGGGGCCAAATTCTTCAGGAGGGGATGTGCTTCCAGTTGTGATGTATCTTAGGCACTGTGCACTTGATGTTGCCTAGGGCCTGCTGTCCAAGTGGCAGGCAAGTCAAGGGCATTGGGTAGAGGTGGGTCTGCTCCCTGCTCACTGCAGCTGGGGGTCCTCTTGGGGAGGCCCAGTGCAGAGTGTTAGTCTCCTAGGGCTCTGCTTCAGAGAAGCAAGGGTAGTTGGGGCACCCCAACTCACACATGGCTCCTTTCTTTCCCTCCACTGTCTACTGCTGGTCAGCAGTTTTCATAGCTATTTGTGCCACCAAGTGGCAAGAGAGAGGAGAAGCTCTGGAATTCCCTAGTCTCCAGGACAAGGATGTGGTAGTGGAGGAGAAACTGTTTTGCTTCTGAAAGCCTTGGATCTTAGGTGTGATTTGAAAAATTTTAAGGACTATTAAGTTATTTTTAAAAGAAGTTCAAAGCACAGGGCGGCGCTGTGGCTCAAAGGAGTGGGGCGCTGGCCCCATATGCCGGAGGTGGCGGGTTCAGCCCCAGCCCCAGCCAAAAACTGCAAAGAAAAAAAAAAGAAGTTCAAAGCACAGTAAGTATATTCTTTTTTTTGCTCTTCTTATTTTTATCGACATAATTTAAGTGTGCTGTGGAAATTTAACTACAGGTTCAAGTGTGCTGTAGATTAAAAAAGAGAAACAGGCTCAGTGCCTGTAACACGGTGGTTACTGCGCCAACCACGTGCACTGAGGGTGGTGGGTTCCAACCAGACCCGGGCCAGCTAAGCAACAATAACAACTGCAACAAAAAAATAGCCAGGAGTTATGGTGGGCACCTGTAGTCCCAGCTACTGCAGAGGCTGAGGCAAGAGAATCGCTTAAGCCCAAGAGTTGGAGGTTGCTGTGAGCTGTGACCCCACAACACTCTACCATGGGCAACATAGTGAGACTCTGCCTCAAAAAAATAAATAAATAAACAAAAATATAAAGGAGCAATACTGCTCTAAGAGATAGGGGCATAAGGGATAAATAGATAACAAATAAATAAAAGCTACCTATAGAGGCATGGGTGGGGAGAATGAGGGTTTTGAGTGTTTTTAGCTTTTCTTCAGAGTCTGAATGTCTGACTTTCCAGAACTTGGGGGAAGCGCTAGCCCGGCAGAGGCTGTGCTGAGCCAGTGGAGGTGGGCGCTGCCTTGGTGACAGATGAGCTGGACAGAATGAGTTTTCACAACATCTAACTTCAGTCCTCAAATGTCAGCCTTGAGGTGACTATGTAAAGCTGGTCACAGAAACACAAACACACCCTGACCTTTACACACTCAGGGCATGTGAACACTCACACCCCAGGGGTAAGTTTAGGTTTGGGTTTTAGCCAACAAAGTGGCCTGTCATCCCCTTAACCTCACCTAGGGCCATCTGTATCCCCTGCCCCTTGCAGAGGAAACAAGCACACACCACCAGAGCCCTATCCTAGGAGACCCCAGTAGCAGTGACAACAGGGACAAATTTGGGTCAGAGGTTAAACGACCCAGATGCTGGCAGGGGCAGAGGTAGAAGACAGGATAGAGGCCAGGAAGGTCAGGGCCTGCCTACAGAACTAACCCATGAGTGCCATGCCTGATGCCTGCTCCCATCTTCCCCTTGCCCCACTTCATGGGATCTCCGAATCCTGCCGGTTCAATCTTCAGACATCTCCTTCCTCTGTGTCTTTTCGATTCCTACTGCCTCTTCCCCAGTACAGACCACAGTCCTCTTCTCCCCTCTACTCCACTCCCCACAGAGGAGCCATACCTCTTCCTCTTTTAAAACAATCTGGGGCGGTGCCTGTGGCTCAAAGGAGTAAGGCACTAGCCCCATATGCCAGAGGTGGCGGGTTCAAACCAGCCCCGGCTAAAAACAAAAACAAAAAAACCAATCCTGCCTAAAGTTCCTCTGTGGCTTCCCATTGCTCTTAGGATATTCCAGATTTCTTTCTTTGGCTTTCAAGGCCTGGAGAGTCTGCTCCCACCAGTATCTCT